ATTCAACTTCTTCCATTCATGTTCAATTACTGCTCTAATCATACATTACTATCCGATAAATCATACAATATGATCATGTTGACATGTTTAAGTTAAAACATCAGCTAATCATTGGCAATGATTGTGTTGCCGAGCAATCATTGCCAATGATTGCCGCCAGCGGTTAAATCAAATTTTCTACATTAAAATAAATCTTAAAATTCTCTAAAACTTTAAAAATTCATTAGAATTTTATTTCTTACCCAAACTTGGAGTTCCTAGAGTCATTGGAACCAGATTGAGCCCAATTGTATTTTAAAAGAAATAAAAACATATTTCGACTACTGTATAGAAAGTAATTAAGGGTTAGAATTTTTATAATTTTTCTTAATTTATCACTAAATAGTGGTTTAATTAAGTTCAATTTTGGATAGGAGATATTAAGGAATTTGTGCTACATACCCTAATTTTCTTGGGCCTTGGGAAGTAATGCAGTTTGGTGAATCAATTTCAAAAGTTTTTTGTTTAAATTTGACCCAAATTTTTGAAAATTCATAACTTTAAATACACTTAGATTTTATGCCTCATTTTGTTAAGATTTGTTTATGTTTATGCGAGGGTTATATTACCACTTATTTTACCCAAATCTAAATAATAGATTGTCCAAAATAAATACTTAAAGGTATAGATGTATTTACCTTTGGAGATCAATTATTAAATCCAAGAGGGCTTTCGTGACTTGAATTTTAATGGGTTTTGAAGAACATATTCAGGTAAACTTATGTTTCAAATTTAATTAGAATTGGAGTTCATTGGCCTGTCAGTTAGTGAACCAAAATACACCCACATAATTGGCCATCTTATTTAAATCATAATTAATTCAAATTAAATCTAGAAAATATATAATTTAAGTTTCATACTGCTCAGAATTAAATGCTTAACAAATAAAACTTAAAAGTCCGATCATAAATCTTCAAAATAAAAAGTAATTTCATAACTAAGCAAAAATATTAAAAAATTAAAAATATTGAAAATCTTAATTTATTCCAAATTGGTTAAATTGTTTTGAAATATTTTTACTCCATACTTAATTTATTCCATTTTGATAAATCTTAATTTATTCCAAACACTTGTAATTATTCCTAAGAGTAATTACTATCATTTTAGGGTGAGTTCAAGGTGTTTTGTATTGATTTAGACATGAAGTTTGCAAAAACATCTTTGATGCATCAAGATATATTGACTAATATCACAAAATTTCATCTTCAACATCACCGTCACTCATGCTTAATCCCTTAGGGCGCTTAGATTAAATTTGGATCTGGTTTTGAGACCATTCAATTTATATTCTACACAAGTTGAGGTGGTTGTAACTCCTGAGTCTACCAAGTTGGCTCCCCTCCAGGACAACATCGAAGTTTGGTCTGTAGTTGCCTCCACAGCTAAATCAGAAACTTTTCTTATTTAACTTTGCCCCAAGTTAGCTGCTATGGCTAAGGGGAAGTCTGCTGCCAACACTGAAACTCCTGTGTTCAGAAACTTTGAGATGGGGTCATCTTTTGATATAAAGGAGATGACTAAATCTCAATGCTGTAACATAAATCACCATAAGAGGTGAAGATATGAGAAAGCTAAGTTGTTGGAAGAGAACAACCTGATTGTCGCTGCAACTAAAGCAGTAAGGAAAGCATATTCTGAAACACCTAAGGTGTTAAGGTGTATGTTAATTCTCCTCAATTAGCATGTAGCAAATTTCACCCACTGTCCGCTGCTACTAGAGAAGAGTACGTATTGCATATAGAAAATTCTCCTCCTACTATGTTCCGTGAAGATCCTATCTTACCTTGTTTATCTAAAAGAACAAAATTTAAATCCATGGTAAATAGATTAAATTAGGACTCAAGCACTGGCTATAGGTAGTCAAAGATGGAATTTCTGAAAAGTGTCAAAGATGTCATTTCTACTGAAGTGCATCCACACTTAAGTGGAAAGCAAGGAGCATCCCCTCCTACTAAGAAAAGAGTTCGATTATAGGAATTGGGTCTAAGTCGACCAGTTTTTGTCATAGATTTTGATAGGGAACCAAAGACATTCTCATATCATAATCAGCGTAAAACTTCAGCCCATCAACAAAGTCAGTAAATTCCTATTAGATCTCTGGGATATGGAGCATTAGCCTGTCGAGGGTATAATCTCATATCACCTCCATCTTTGCATCAGTCTAAAAATTTTCCAGCAAGAGCGTCTGGTCATTCTTCAGGTAAATATCCATCAAGGGTTAATCGACACCATTCAAGAGGCATTGACTCATCTTCTTAGTTTGATAGGATGAGACTGAAGTTCACAAATTAGTCAACCTCCATATTTGATAGGGAGAGGGTTTGGTGGCCTAATATAGTTCCCACTCCAACCGCATTAATAACTCATAGGAATAACGTGGTGGATGAAAGATCAAGAAAAGGAAAGTTTGTGATAGAACTCTCTCCTACTAGAGAATATATGCAATAGATTCACACCATATGGAAGGGAAGTTGATCAAAGAGATAGTGGAACACCTGAAAGAAAGTATCCATCAAATCAACGAGCAAGAAGCTGTAGAGGATGAGAAGATGAATGAAGAGATTTTTGGCAATGTAAACATGGTCGACGCTCGTTCATCTCTGCAAAGAGAGAAACAAAAAGGTAAAGGTGAAGCAGGGCCTGCTAACAACAATGAGGATGAAGATGATACAGAAGATTCAACTCATCATCTATTAGAGCAACTGAGTCGGAAGGATGAGCAAGTACTAAGAATGAAAACGAAATTAGAATAGATGAAGGCTATGATATCCATCATGCAAGGTAACACCCCTCATATTCTAGATACTCAGGTTAGATCTTCTCCTGATGAATTTGTGCAATTGAATACCAAGAATAAGGTAATTAGGATAGAAAAACTAGAGAAACCGGTGAATAAAGCTATCAAGGTAGAATCACCATCAATACAGTCTATAAATATCAAGCACATGATAGAACAACAAGTTAAGGAGGGGTTAGTTAAGGCTCAGGTTACCTCATCTATTCTGAAGGGTAGACCATATTCGGAATAATAGACCTTGTCCTTTATCATAAAGGGTTTATATCGCCTTCATTCAAGAATTTTGATGGTACAGGGAATCCAAAGCAACATCTCGACACTTCAAAGCTAGCTACTACAATGCTGGAAACAGTGATACTTTGTTATTCAGGTAGTTTGTCGTAGCTTATCTGGTAATGTATTCAATTGGACCCAATGAGTCGGTCCATATCTTCAGGGAATTAGAAGCCATGTTCGTAAAGAGATTTGCTTGTATAAAATATCATATGAATGTGACTTACTAGATGAATAGAGTAAGCAGATAACATTGATAATAAATAAATTTGAAAGTCTACTGAAGCATGAGCATAAGCATCAACAAAAGTGGAGAAAAGATAAAAATGCTAAAAATGTTAAGTTTTTTTTTCTAATGTTATTTGCTTTTGGTGTAGAAAATCCAAACATCTGAAATATGAACGCCCAAATTTAAAAATATATCCTGTAAAGAAAAAGGGAAAAAATTAAAAAAAAATGCAATAAAGGCAAATGATACGAAGTAAAAAAATATCCTGAGTAGACTTAGCTTCTGAATCATCAGAACAGGGGCAAGAAGATGAGGAAACAAACTATGCTAAATCGTCCAGGATTCATTATTAATTATGACTATGTATAATTATGTTAAGGTTTTTTTTGTGTTTTGTTTATGTGTTTTGTGTGATTGTTTATCTGTTTCATGTATTTGATTTTTATTATGTTTTAAGCATAATTTTATGTTTTTGTTTCTTTAAATATGTTGTTTTTTTATATATATATATGCTGTTATTTTATTGCAAGTATTTTAATTTTAGTTTTGTTTTATCTCTTCTATTTGACAATATATAAGGGAGATAATGTAGTATGGTTGGTTGTATAAGTGGTTTAATTTTTAAAATTTTTTTTATTATTTAGTTTTGAAATTTTATTTATCTTTTATAATAAAAAATAAAAAAATGATTTCCCTATTTTTTAATATAATTCTTCTAGTAAGGGGGAGATTATGATAAAATATTTTTAGTTTGTAAATTCGACTAATAATATTTGTCATCATAAAAAAAGAGGAGATTGTTGCAATTTGGCCTTCCGAGTTTATAATTTTAATGATAAGAAATATTATTGATTACCTATTTATTTCTCCTAGTATTTATAGTGCATATTAATTTGTGTTAACTAACATTTCAGGTACAACATGCATCATTATTTGAAGATTCAAGCTTTAAGACGAGGTAGAATATGTTATGTTGAAAGAGTCTGTAATTTTCATTTATTTATTTTTAATTTCTTGAGTCAAGTTTTACAATGGTGTATGTTAGTCTGATGATCGTGCACACACACACAAAGAGAGCAAAAATAATTTTAAATATTTTAATTTTTTGCACATCATACTATGCAATATGGTCTTATCATATTAGACGATCTGTTATAATTGGAAACCCCTCCATTCATTAAATTAGGCAAAAAATTGAATTTAAAAAGTTTTTATTCGTACTGTACGAATCTAATCGTAATGTACGATATTTGAAATATTATCTAATATAATCCTATGATTAATCAATCGAATCTGCTTAATTTTAATATATTGATCGTACTATACAAACTAGATCATAGTTTACGATCAATAGAGACGATATTTGGTCATCACATGATTCGTCCTGGACGAACTGCATTTTGGTTGAACTAATCGTACTGTACGATTGGTCATTCATACTGATGATCGTACAATACAAACAAATAAATTTGAATTTATCGTACTGTACTAACTGGTCATCGTACAATACTAACAGGTCAAATTTTGCACATCGTAAAGTTTAGTACAGTACCTGGAGAGGACTTCAAAGAGTGGGCGTGACACACCCCAATTTGGATCACTCTCTAACGGTCAAACTGGAGTATAACAGAAAAGGAAAGAAATCTATTTAGACTCTCATAATACTTCAGCATGTCAACTTCACACTTAATAATATGAAACATGTAATGTACCTCAAGTAAAATCAAATATAATCCAGGTAAACACAGAGCTCTACTAAAACTTTTAAATTTTACTTACATACCCAAAAGTCTGCACAACTATCATCCAGATCTCTCTTTAGATTTCTTTGTACACCAAAAACATATTTAAACCCAAAAGAACAGTCCCCCTTTAATGCCCTACGGGCTCCTTTCCCTTACCTACAATACAATCATTGCTAATGAGCTATGACCCAATGAAATACATAAACAATATATAAGATTAATAATAACATTAATAATAATCAATGTAAAAAAAATGTAAATTACATACTTGTCATAAGAAATGCATTATTACTTTCCATCTTACTCATTGTTCAACATCTTTAAGCAAGTCATATGATGGCTATAAACTTCTGCACCATTTCAGCTTTTCAATCGAAGGTTGGGTCTAGATTCCCAACTTCTAGAATTGAAACTATCCTCTCATTCAAGATTGGGTCTTACTTCCCAACTTTTAGAACTGAGAGTGTATGCTTACCTCGTCAGGTCTCTCGCATTTACTTGTGTGGGTTTATCCCCCATATATGACTTAAATCCCTTTATCAATAGCAATAATTATTTTAACCCTCATGGCACATGCTTATAGACAATAGTTTATGAATAATCATAGTCATGAATAAACTGAAGTAAACTGAAATAAACGCTATCAACTAAATATGAAATTACAATTAGATAAAACATTTATTAATTCCTATGGCATTGTTGGTATCTCACCTCGTCGTCAATTGGTTCTATAATATTCTGCCTTTCTTTCCTTTTGTAAACAGTCTTAAATGTATGTTTCTTCATTCACCAAAATCTTTCCCTAACATTTTTCAGCAAATATTTAGCCGGCAATATAGCAGCCATATAATAACAACAATCATGACTAAATTTCAGCTTTTCTTTTCTTTTTTCCTTCTTGATTTCACTGATTTCTGCAAAATACATCCAATTTTAGCAACCCTACAGCAGCCTACATCAGAAACCTTCAGAAATTTTAGTAATTACGGGGTAGAAATTTCTCTCTAACATTTCCTCTCTTCTTACTACTGATTCGAGCTGTTGTGGTCAGCGAACAACAGCAATTCAGCAATTTTTCTCAACAAACAGTAGTAGATAATCTTTCCTTCAACAAAAAGTAGTAGATAATCTTTCCTTCCCTTACATGAATTTATTTTCTTACCTGCTTTAAGCCACCAACCGCCCAGGTTTCTCCCCGGTTGCTCCCTTCTTCGCGGAATGCTTCAGCTCCAGAAGGACATGAACGGAGAATAGAATGGAAGTGGACTGAAATTAACTTAAGGCATTTTCACTTACTGTACTTTAATATATTTTAAACGTCCACTAAGTCTTTCCTCAATACAGCCGCACCTACTTAATCAATCCCTTGCATGACTAGTTAAGTGCCTAAGATGATCTCAGCCGTTAATTACAGATTCTACTGTCAAACTAATGCATGTCTATATAAGTGGATGGCTACAGTGAAATAAATAAAATAATGAAACAAGTGACTTAATAGCTATCAGTAAATCATTTAAGTACTACAATTAAGTTACTTTTATTTAATATTAGTCATTTATTTTTTTAACTACTAATCTAATTTTTTAAAATGCTTTCAATATGTCAAAGTAATTAGAATTAAGAGTACAATTTAATGAAAACAACTTAATATTTAAAGGAAGTTGATGCTTACTTTATTTTAAACATTTTGAGGGTATCACAAGGCGTAGGTCATGGTTTAACCAAACCACTATAAATCTGGTGTGCTCATTCTAATTTTTACTTTCTACACTTTATTTTTTCGCATTATATTTTTGGATATAAATGTTTAGTTGATTTATGATTGATATTATGTTGTATTGATTATACTATCATCACAATCTTTGTAACTTTTGATAAGTGCATAGGTTTTCACATCAAGTTATAGTATTACTTCCGTATTAGTGTGCCTCGGGCTAATTCCTTAAGGTCTAACAACCTTCACGAACTTTCACTTACGTCCACGGTAGTTATGATAAGTTGTTTATTATTGGCATTCAAAAAGTATTACAAGGACAACAAAGTAGCTTAAACAAGTATAAGTATCACAATTATTAGGTAGTAAAGATATTAGGATATCTTAGATTCCAATAGAAGATTTTAGCAAGTTTCCAAAAGTCCAAGAGATTTAAAGATCCAAAGATACAATTGTATGTTTGAGGGGTACTTCTTATAAGTGTTAAATTAACTTTGATATTCTTGGATGACATTGAGAGTTAGGGAATTAATCATCAATGCCGCAATTATGATTAGTGAATTACAATAATGATGTGACAATCAAAATCATTTAGTTTTGAAATGTCTTTAATTCCTCATTTAATGAGCGTTCTACTGACAATTATAATGCTTTGAATGTTGTTTAAAATACTTAATATGTTGAATCTAAAAAGAACCCCAGTTGAACCGTAGTGATCCAAGCTTAAACGCTTGAGGAGAATTCATCTCAAGCTCGAAATGTTATGTATGTTGGGGGATGAAATTCCTAAAAAGAATAAGTATTTAATGTGTTGGTAAAACATGACAAAAAATCTGTATGGCATACAGCTCATTTTGATCTGTTAGTTGGAGGTTTTGAATATTAATTAAGAGTTCATGGGTTCGAATCTGATGCATGTAATGTGTGTGTGAATTTACCTTAATTAGCCTAAATATCTCAAAAAAAAAATAATGGTAACATTAAATACTGAACCATTCTAGATTTTTCCTTTTATCACTTTGGTCACTTCATATAATTTTTTTTAACTATGACTCTATAGAGTAACTACAATCATAATACTTGTCTTATATCTTTAAACCTCAATATGAGGCACAGGAAAATGGTAATCTCAAAAGTTTTTTTTTTATTTCTTTTTAGATCTCTAAGAATTTTTTTATGGCGTTATTTAAATTGTAGTTCTCAATATCATTTTGGCTCACTCTGCTTTGCTAAAGGGGAAATCAAGGCTAATGTTTCCAAAAAAACATTTTTTCAGTTAATCATTTAAATTTCAAATTACATATTATTGAATTCTTAAATTTATTATGATTGTTATACTTTTTAAATAAATATTAGCTGATCTTTCTTCAAACTACGGTATGTTTACTCACTCAATGTGTGAACTTTAATACTGTTGGCCCCCATGATATATTCAATATACTACTTCGAACTTCTTTGAAAATACATTTCATTTCCTCTTCACTTTAATCATGATAAAGCCAAAGGGCATATTCTATCGATGCTCAATAATAGAGAATACAATTGGTCGTCAAGTATTTTCAAGTTTCATCTAAATAAAATATATAATAGGGTTCTTGCAATTGGGTGTTTCAGGGTTAAATTACAAGTTCAAAATGCTAACAATAATTCAATGCATTCTTAATGATTTATTTCTTTCTTATGCACAAAATATCATACAGAAGAAAGTTTTTTTTTTCCAAGTCAAGGAATGAGCAAAAACATAACAAGATATCTATATAAAATCAAACGAAATGATGAAAGGTTAAAAATTATTTTTTTTTGGGACAAAGGTTAAAACTTTTGTAGATGGCTTCATCGGTGAAACAGAAATGTGTCTGCTTAGCACTATAAATATAATGTTTTCAATAAAATAAAACTGGTGAACAAACCAAGGATTTAATAAATACAATAAATACCGTCATTTTTGTTCTTCATCTGAATCTGACTCGGCAAAAACTGGCTTTGGCTGAGTCTCTGCATATGCAGGTGCTATGAACTTGGGATCTTTTTCAGCAGCATCTGCATATTTAAGTATGGCCTCTCTTGGATCTTCTTCCATCCACGTCTCCTTAATCAAACCACCTTGCTGCAACATGATACCTCAAACATTATTCATTCCTGTAAATCTAATCATTAAAATATTCAAGGAGATACAAACCTTCATAAGGTACTGGGTTAACAAGCTGCCTTTTGTAGTACCCACTCTTCCACCAAAGCCTGGGCCATTTACAGGAAGTTCAGGCTTATGTGACTTCATAGGGTCCTTTAGGATCTTTTCTCTTTGACGTTTTCGACTAGGTTGATCTCTAAATAGAGGTAATGCATGGGGATTGTGAACAATTGGCTGGGCATCAAAATCATCCACGGACTTTTTCCTTGGCGCTCGTGCAACACATACAAGAGCTCCTCTCTGACTCATAGATGGATCATAAAGTATGTGAGTACCGCCTTCTTTCTTGTCGCCCACAGTTACAAACACCTTCAGAAATTTCAGCCAAACTCTTATTTTAAGGTTTCTAACTTACTTGAAGGTAATGCAAAGCTTAAGACCAAACTTAGAGATTTACTATAAAAAAAAATGAAAGATATTATGCAATATTACATTGAAATTCAACCATCATTATTACATGAAAATATGTTGAAAACAGTAAGAATTAAAAGAGAATAGTTAAAAGTGAACTTTAACGTAACCTGATTGATTTTTGGATGCCAACTACAACGAACCACACTTTGATGAGGGGAGATTCCAATTCTTGATACAAGCTCAAGTTTCCTCCTGTCATAGAAACAAAGCATGCCTCCAGTGGTATCTTCTTTTTCAACCGAGGTTCCAGTAAGGATAAGCTGCTCGTCTGGACTAAATGCAGCATTTGTTTGGGCATAATGATTGGGAATGTTATCAAATATTTTGATGGGATTTCTCATTTGTCGCAAATCCCAGACCTACCAACAAAACAACAACATTCATTTTCCTAGTTTTTCTTACTTTTTGAAACTGTTCACCAAAAATAGTGATTGTTGTTGGTTGTTCAGATGAAGTATTATACATCCGTACCTTAAGTGTACTATCCATACTTCTGGACAAGAGAATCAAGCCATCAACTGAAAACTTAAGTCCGCTGACATCATCTGTATGTGCTCGCTCTACGTGAATGTCTGGCCTGCTTCCCCATACAGACTTCATGCTCCATAACTGCACAATTGATCATTCCATTAGAAATACTTACTAGAAGCATACATCAAGATTACATATAAAACAAATAAGTTGCAAGTGTGGACAAAATGAAATAAAGGATGAAATATAAAATTCACAGCAGAAATTCTAATGAAAATAAAGAGACCTGTATGGAACCATCGCCAACAGCACCAACAATACGTTTACCTTCATGATCCCATGCACAAGCCGTAACTGGAACCCTCATTGGCCTAGCAAGCTTAGGCTTAATAACCTAACGACAGAAAAGCTATTAGATATCTTGTAGATATTTTTCTTCATTGAAATGGCAGTACAACTACCATATAAATGGATTGTTTTTTCCATCAATCAAAGTAAAGAGCAATAAAAGAATTAATTAGCGTATCATGTATGTGCATCAATTTTTCCATTTCATGCATGCCCATGTAACTGGATTGCTGCACATGCTAAATGTTGTGGGATTAAAAAAAAGGGCATGCTTGCTTTAAGTTTTCATAACCCAAAACATGAGTTCCTGTCAAACCTGTTTTTGACATTTGAAGTCATTTACATCCCATACACGCAAAGACCCATCTTCCGAAGAAGTTAAGATAGTTTCCTTGGACTTGGGATTCCATTCTCCACCAGTCAAGCCAGATATATGACCCTTGGTGTTCTTTAAGTCACGTATATACATATCTCCCTTGATGAACTCACCCAGGGTAAGTCCATCTCGATCATAAATCTGCAATTAATTTTCTCCATAGAAATGATCAATCAATAAAACTAGAATCTAAAAATAAAATGAGCCAAAGCTAGGCACCTTAGCATGTGCTGAACCTGTTACACACAAAAATTTGTCTGACGTAGGGCTCCAACTTATACTTCAAACCTGGTGTCCCTCAAAAGGTTCTTGCTGTGGATCTATGGCTTATGATTTTGATGATAGCAAACATTCTTTTTCTCTACAACTGCCTTATCTACTGACATTTCAGGTTCACACGATCGGACTGCAATTTAAAATCAGCTCAAGATTGGGTAGACTAGGTCTGAGTCAGTTTGTATCTTTTTTCCTTTCTTGAGTCTATTGTATTTGGTGTGGCACCTGATGATTTGTAACTTGGAAGATTTTCTATTGTTCCCTAAAGATTTTTGTTTTTGGTAACATCGTCCGGGATGATATTTATATCAGCCTGGTCGATCTATCCAAAAGCAGAAACCCTAATTAGGGCATCCTCATTAAAGCAGCCGTCATTATGTAAAACACATCGTCCTGGACGATTTTGTATCGGCCAGGAAGATAGGCTCAATTCAGAAAGAATCAGTCGCCAGATCTATTTAAAAATAACCTATTTTTAGACATCGTCTAAGTATATCGTCCAGGACTATAAAATATCATCTGGGACGATCCAGGTCAATTTTTCTAAAATTTCTCTGAAATTTAAGGAAATTAATTATGACTTGATTTCACAATCAAATCGGCCTGGACGATCGCCAGATCGTCCTGGTCGATATGTTGGACGATTGGTCATCGGATAGCTATTTTTCAGGGCGATGTTGAGGACAATATTCTACGATTTGTTCTGATCGTCCAGGATGATATATTATCATCCAGGATGATATGAACAAACTTCTTTTGATCGTCTCAAATTGTCCCGGCTGATTGGGCTTAAATTATACTAATTGTATAGGATTATATTTATATCGTCCTGGACGATAATGTCGACAACTTGCATTAATGAGCTCGTTTTGAGA